TTAAATCTGGCAGAGGAGCTGTGCACATTGTTGCAGTGAGTACTACTACAAAGGCCTCTAAAGCAAGGAAATACAAGGCTCAGGTGGCTAGAACTTTCTTCCCCTTTTAAAATGTTCAATAGCCATCAGGCCCAGTGGCAGAAGCCACTATAATCCCAGTGGCTCTGGAGGCCAAGACCAAAGCCAGCCTCAGAAACTTGGTGAGGCCCTAAACAACTTAGCAAGACCCTATCTCTAAATAAAAAATAAAAAAGAGCAGGGGATGTGGCTCAGTGGTTAAGCCCACCTGGGTTCAATCCCCAGTAGCAAAAAAAAAAAAAAAAAAAAATTCTAAATAGCAACAAATGTTGCAAAGATTTCACCTTAGGTTTCAGTTGTATTTGGTATGTAGAGTTCAAAAAACATACATATCAAAAATTTTTAAATCAAAGGTGTCTGTTAGTGAGTAGAAGAGTCTGGTGCCATCCTTGAGTGAGCCAGTCAGCTCAGTTTTCAGTGACAGCAACGTGTAACATCACCTACCTAACAGCAGCCTTCCAGTTACAAGTAGAGTCTAGAGCAGCAAATCTTGTGGCAAACCACTCCAAGAAGTTTTACTGATGATGTCATCTATGTTTACATGTGGAGAGTTTAACTTCATTTGTAAGTAACAGAGTTTCCAACACCTGCATAACTATTCATAACTATTTTGAAAGCTCCTACATGAAAATTCAGTCCTATCAGAATGTATTGTCCAGGATTACCAGTAACCAAGAAAATGCAAGTACACTAGACTATGCTGGCTAGTTATCAGTAACTATGAAAATTCCCACATCTTAACTCCATAAATCCAACAGTCAAAAAACACTCAAAATATGGGAAACCAGACAGGCATGGTGGCACACACCAGTAATCCCAGTGGTTCAGGAGACTGAGGCGGGAGGCCTGCAAGTCCAATGCCAGCCTCAGCGACTTAATGAGGCCGTAAGCAACTCAGCAAGACTGACTTTAAATATTACAAAGGGCTGGGAATATGTCTCAGAGGTTAAGCACCCCAGGGTTTAATACGAGTACCAAAATTAAATATACATATGTGTGTGTACACACACACACACACACACACACACACACAAGAAACCAAACATCAAACATTTTCAGACTACAACTCTCATTTCAACACTGCTAAAATGAATACCAAAAGTAAATTCAAAAATAGCTTTTTCCAAGAGGCTATCCCTCACTCTTTCAAAAACCAGAAAGACTTTTCCAAAAATAACCTGGACATAACACCAAATGCTCAGACATTTCAAGAAGAATGGCGTCCAAGCATTCCCCTTCACCATCATCCTCAAGCAGGATATGAAGCTGCCTCTCATCTTTTCACCTCTCTTCAACTTTATGAGACCTTAAGCTAAAAGTTCTTCACTGAGGGTCCAAGAACTTAAATGGAAATTTTGTTTTAATTACATTTAAATTATTCATTTTCACTAACTCCTTGCCTAAAATAAAATGCATTCTTATTAATCACAAATTTGGTTTGGTATTTTGAAAACTATGTTCCTGTCCCAATAACTTGAACTTGTAACAGACACATCCATCAAATACCATGATTCAAATATTCTTGCAAAATATCATGCTTTAAAAGCACACACTGCTGGGTGAAATGTTGTGCACCTGCAAGGCAAGGTACCTGGGAGGCTGACAGAGGATTACTTGAACCCACAAGATCAAGGCCAACCCAAGCATCATAACCACACTTCATTTCAAGGGGAGGAGAAAAAAGAATATACCCTTGAAATTTATACTGTTGAAATCAACTCTTAAGAGTTTAATGTGATTTTTTTTAAAGAGGGAGAAAAATAGCTAAAACATAAGAAATGTTTGGAGAAACATTATATCAAAAATAAAAATTAACACCACAATTAATATAAAAGAACATTTAGGGATGGGGTTGTAGCTCAACAGTACAGAGCTTTCCTAGCATATGTGAAGAGTGACAGAGCACTTGCCTAGCACTTGGGAGGCACTATGTTCAAGCCACAGCACCACATATAAATAAATAAATGTGTGTATGTATGTATGTATGTATATTTTTAAAAAGAATATTTAGCCAAAATGCCACACTTACCTCTGTAAGCAATATTGCTAGCATATCCTGCCTCTGGAAACGTATGGCTAAGTGTACCAGGGTGTAGCCAACATCAAAGGCAGAAGGGCGATTCAGTAAGCGTACTTCATCTGCAGTAAGCTGGCGTGCAATATCTCCTCCTGATGATTTGTATGCTTCTATGGCAGCTAAATCACCTTCTACGACTCCTAAAACAAGCATCAAGATAGAAAAGCATTTAATCCTATTTTTCGTCAAAAAGCAAAAACCTGTAGCATTCACTCCAAACTCTATAAACATTTCTCTGTGCTTCCTGGATCCTGGGGTATCACTTATTGTCCTGAAGAATATAAGAGAAATTAGCATTTCCCTCCCTTTAAATATTTCTTGCCAGAACTACCTAGTTAGCACTTA